ATTTAGTACACATAAGTGAGCATTTTGAAAGCTACATCCACACCCTAACCCTACACCACACAGTCATTTTAATTCCCAAATTCAAATTTCTTATTCCACGGGATCTAACGGATCACCTAAATCAATATCGTATCAAATTTAGTACCATTTAGTACACATAAGTAAGAGTTTGCTTCCTAAATAACTCAATTCTTCCAAATTTTCCAAAACACTCATCCATATACCAATCCTACACTCAAACAGTAATCTTAATTTCATTTTTCCAGATCTATCGGTTCATCCAAATCCAGATAGCAGATATAGTACCATTTCGTACATTTCGTATACGGTTTGTACTTTTCGCATACATGAGTATGCACTTCCAAAATCAGCTCTTTATATCAACATTGATTCGCATTCCAAATTTCAAGTTTTTGGCTCTATCCGTTCACATGCTATGATATTGTAACAAATTTAGTACATTTCGAATATTTTTAGTTAAAATTAAATATTTGAATTAAAAAAATCTTTAAGAATTCTAGCTCGCCAAATACAAGCGATACCATATTTAGTACTTTTCTAATTCCAAATTTCAATTTTCCAAATTTCTAGTTTTTGGCTCTATCCGTTCAAATGCTATGATATTGTAACAAATTTAGAACATTTCGAATATTTTTAGTTCGAATTAAAAAACCCTTGGTATACGCCATCTTTAAGAATTCTAGCTCGCCAAATACAAGCGATACCATATTTAGTACATTTCTAGTACGAAATTCAAAAAACGAAGCCTTATCTGACACCTTTGGACTAAGAGTGACCCTCATCTTAAATTTCAAGATTCTAGATTCAGCCGTTTCGTCTATGTATATCAGTCACTTGACCCTTTTATTGGTATAGGTTTTCAAATATATCAATATTGGCTGAAGTATCCAATCCTATACCTTAGGGATTTTGGGAACTTTTTGTAACCGAATTTTCAATATTTTGATATTTTGAGATCTCATTTAGTGTCAAATCTTCCTACTAAGAAGTTATCATTTTTTTTAAGAATATTTACATGCATATTTTTATATTTGTCATAATGTGGACTCAGAGTGCGTAGCAATGAACCTTAATACATAATTTTATACACATACATTTTTTACATTGGATATTCTACTAAATGTAAACAAATTGTCTATGAATTCCTCAACTCAGAACTTTTAATCCAGCAGTGAAACGGATAGTGTATGTGTGTTGGTATAACATAAAGGACACGTTTCCATATAAATCCGTTATTAAATATTCTCTCCCTCCCTCTCCGTATCAAAGCATAAATGAATACACATTCAAAATATTTCATACATAATCCATTTATGTTGAACAAATGTTGTGATTGGACCTGTATACAACATCAATCCATGTCAGAATTATACAAGGTAACGAGACAGAAACCAGTTGAGTTGATTCCAACGTAATACTTGTGTCAATGTGAATATGACAAATAATGTTTTGAAATAAAAAATGACCCAACCGTAAAATGTTTACGCATAAAATTTGAAATACGAGATCACAAAGTTTATTAATTGTCGGTCAGGTATTTTTTCACTCTCTGAGAAACAAATATTCCAAATTACAACCACTTCTGTATGAAAATTCTGTTAGAAACTTTAAAATACCGGATCCAATTTTCCTAGCGATAAATATGTCTGCCAAGACGTATTTTATCTTCTATAGCCACATTGCTTAGAAAATTCGGCTAGAACCACGAAACCATAAACGCTAACTTTCAATGAACATTTTATAGACTCCAATTAGAATTGTAGACAGCTGACTAATTAGAATAGTAGACAACTGACACTCTTCATCTGTGATGAGTGGGGCAGAGCTCCGAAGACAACATTCACTTTGTATTCATGTGACACATCGAAAATTGCATAAGTGCGAATACTATCCAGATCTTCTCGACAACATCTAAGGACTTCCTTTTCTATCGTTGGATCTCACTCTAGATCATGTAGATCCTTCCTGACTTGCCTGGATGGGGTAGTTCTATCCATCATATGATGGTTGATAATATTCTCTCTATAGCACCTATATTGCTGAGAAAGGGGAAGGATCTACGTCTCCTCACGTAAATGGTGTAATGAGGAGGCGCACTTTTGCAGTTCTCTTCACCATTGCGTAGCACCAGTATTCGCAGACTGGCAGCGCATAGTTGGCCACATACCGATCTAGCAGCTAGCAGCAAACGGCATGATGGCCTAGTTCATACTTTTTAAGTTTTCGTAGATAGCTGTAATATTGTGCGAACATTTTAAACATACTATCGAATGTTAGCCCGAGAATTTTTGGGATAGTTTTTGGTATTAATTGTCGCAGACCTACACAATCCGGACAAAACTGTCAAATCAACGACATCACTCAACGCCACGGTCTGCATACTTAATGATTTTAATGCCGTATGGCATGAGTTTTGAACTCTTATTCCGGAACTTCACATATGGCGTCCACACATATAATTAATTATATAACGTCTTTAACTTGGCCAGAGGTATTCTTGACGTCCTAAGGCTTACTTACTTACTTAGCTGGCTTGTGACAGAACATTTATTCCATAAGCCGAGCTTAAAACATATTTTCAGACGCAGTCCTTCCAATTTGAAAGACCGTGTTCCGAGATGTTGTCTTCCACTTGATCTTTCCATCGAATTTGTGGCCTTCCCCTTCTACGTGATCCATCAGTTGGCTCGCTTTTACATGACTTTTGAGCAACATGACCTAGCCAACGTAGTCGCTGCAGCTCGATCCGTCTGACTATGTCGATGCCCTAGAATAGATAGTACAACTCATGGTTCATTCGACGGCGATATTTATTGTCAACACAGTTGGGCCCATAGATATTTCGGAGAATTTTTCTCTCATCCATACAACAATACGGGTTGTATCAGCGTCTTGTAGAGTGCGAGATGGGTCTGGCGAGAGATGACCTTTTTTCTGAATTGCTTACTTAGATCGTATTAGCATCTGTTGGCCAGCACTATTCTCCTTCGGATTTCAGAGCTGATGTTATTAGTTTTGTTTATTGCGGCACAGAGGTATATAAAATCGTTCACTACCTCGAAACTGTAGTTTTCAAGTTCCGAGTCTACTGGATGCCTTACGCGTTCATGCCATCAGCTTCGTCTTCTCGCCATTTACTGCCAGTCCCACTTTGGCAAACTCCTTCTAAATTCGTTTGGTGTACAAAGTGTCATTTCTGTTCACATTTGTATCTCTTATGACCTTTTCCAGCAGGACGATAAACAGGTCACATGACAAACTGTCACCTTGTCTGACTCCTCATTCGGTATTAAACGGCTCCGAGAGGTCCTTTCCGACTTTAACTGCTGACATTGTATCACTTAAAGTTATCCTGCATAGCCGTATTAATTTTGACGGAATGCTGTCATGACTTTAAACACCTCTGAACAATGCGGCTTTATAGTCGACGAATAGTTGGAATGTGTCGATGTGTTTTTCGTGGGGCTTTTCCAGGATCTGACTCAAAGTAAAAATGTGGTCAATGGTGGATTTGCCTGGCCTAAAGCCGCATAGATATTGTCATTGACCATTATTTTCAGTTGTTCACACAGTTCGCTGGATAGCACTTTATATGCAATGGGAATGAGACTAGTTCCTCTATTGTTGGCACATATCGTCTTGTCTCAATTTTTGTGCACGGAACACAGGATGCCGAATCGTTGGACATGCATTCCTCTAGCCAAATTGTACTAATTTGCTGGTGTATGTTTCTGACCAGCATCTGTCCACCGGCCTTGTATAGTTCGGCTGGTAATCCATCGGCACCTGCTGCTTTATTGTTCTTCAGCTGATCGATTGTTATTCTGATCTCATCTTGTCTAGGTGGTATACAATCTATGCCGTCATCTGCTATTGGTTCAACGCCACTATGAAGCAATGAAGCTTATCACATTCATTTGCTAGTCCAAATGATTCTCATCACGGAGGAAATCTGACGGCTGCAACTGCAATTATATATACATTCGCACCTACACCTCGACCCTAATCCATATACCTACACCCTAATCCATATATCTCAATGTATGTGTAAAATTTGAATGTAGCCACCAATCAGTGTACTATCCTACAGTCCTCGCACGAAATTCCAATCCAAAGCGGCTTGTCAGAAACGAAATTACAGACCAATTATCCAGTACTAAAATTATCTTCTAATGAATCTTACAATCTGTCAACCATAAAATGTGGTTAAAATACTTGATTCCAAAGTAGAACAGACAACAATATAACATGGAACTCACAGCATTTTAGATTTGTCTAAAATGTAAAGTTTATTGGCCAATTGTCTTTCGATATTTTCCCTACACATAAGGATATACACATTCTAATCAGATATTAAATATAACAACCATCTCAAGGGTGGAGTGGTTCTTCGCCACACCCATCTCGCAGTACGATGCTACTATAATAGGTTTATAGCCACTATACTGCATCTTTATTTCGTTCTTAAACATGCAAACACAAAAAAAAACAAATAATAATTGACAAACCCTATATTCATCAAAGCAACTTTCAAAAAGACCCACTCATTAAATGTAGAATGAATTTGAAGTGAACAGATATGAATTGAAAATACATCCGACTAAAACAAGAACATAAAAAGTTATGCACAAATGAACAATAATATAAACTCAATGTTATGATTTGGTTAAAAAAAAAACAAATGTGGTAGCGAAACAAAATTCCCAGAATGAATACATATAAAGGGGGGTAAATATACTTTGTGTTTGGAGTGTGGGTGGGTGTGTATACAACGGACAAAATGTATTTGTTATTATGTTAACTTATATATAATATTGTATGGACTATAAATATATATAGAAAATCAATGTACAAACAATAGTTATCGATTTGAATGTAAAAAAACGCATATGGCATACGAATGTTAGAAATTAATTTAAAAAAAGAAATACAAACAAAAAGGTAGAAATCAAATTACATTAGCAAGTAGTTGAACTTACCTTAAACTTAAATCGGGCGAGGCACAACGTATGGCCACACTCAATATTTGTGGTACCAAACGCATTGCCATTGCCACCTGATTACGCCAGATACGCAGATACAGATCCTTTTGACTTTCGGTGGGTACACGTTTTGTTGGTGCCGATGAACGCAGCAACGAGGCACGATTATCACTGACCGGCCTAATAAATGAAATAGAAAATATTAAGAGTTAAATTATAAATAATAAAACAAAAAATTAAATAAAGTAATACATTCGATCCTGCCGAAATTTATATATCATCCACCACCATGAAGAATTCTGACAAATTTATCAAAACGAATTAATTTTTTATTTTTATTGATAAAAATATTTTTTAGGGCCTATACATAGGCTTGGATTTATAAAACTATTTTTTCAGGGTCTACACATGGGCTTGGATTTATAAAAATATTTGTTTCAGGGTCTATACATAGGCTTGGATTTATAAAAATATTTTGTCAGGGTCTACGCATAGGCTTAGGAGTATAAAAATATTTTTTCAGGGTCTACACATAGGCGTGAATTTATAAAAATATGTTCAGGGTCTACACATAGGAATGGATTTATAAAAATATTTCTTCAGAGTCTACTAAAACAAGTAATTGTGATATTGCCGACAGTGATATATGCACATAAATTTCACCCCTAACTTAATCTATATTTTTAAGAAATTTAATATTAATATCACTATAAATTGATATCTGTAAATTGTCAGCTAGTTAATAGTGTATGTTCTAAGAAAATCGCAGATGTTGGAAACTTGGCCTAAAACGTTGGGCTATGCAAAAATGTGGACCTATATTGAAAACGTTGTGGACAGAAGTTTTTTTTTTTTTTTTCAGCTAATACTTAGAAATTATTGAAAATTGGGCGGAACATTTTTATGGAGACTATGTAAAAAAGCAGACCTACATCAAAAAATCAACTGCAAATATGTTTCTCACCCTACAAGAAACCGCAATGCCAAATTACAACCCATTCGTTGGGGAAATGCGGTTAAAATCTTTAAAATGCAAATTCTACAATGATGCTTTTCAATTTATTTACAAAAAGTGCGAAATTTCATCAAAATATAAAATTTGCTGTACATACCCAAATTTAGAGATAATTTTTTACAAATAAATATCGAATTTACGAAAATCTTTTCTTTTGCAACTAATAGTAAAATTTGATATATAATTTTGTCTTTGACGAAATACTCCTATAACGCAGTCTCATTGAAGATTTTTACACATTTGTGCAAGGTGTTTAATAAACACTTAAGTCAACAAAGAATTTTTTGGCAATATTGGTCATTTTCTACCTAAATTCCTAAAAAAAACTGATGAATTTAAATATTATACTTTGTGAAATTTGACGTAAAATATTTCATCCTTTGACACTATGGACAAAAATGAGGTTTCATGTTGCTTTCATACAATTCGTTGAAAAAGGTACAGTAAAATTTCTATGAAAAAATTGCCCATATTTTTCGAATTGTTTGTCCTAAATTGACGTCTAATATTCAATTTTTTGTAATTTCCCCATAATTATCAGAAAAAAAAATATTTTTTTTTTTTTTGCACGGTGGGTAAGTACAGTGAACTAAAAAAAACAAAACAATCTTACTTAACATCCATAAACTTACGTTGGATCAATAACACTGTACAGAGTTGTTAGACGTGCATAACATATGGGCCAGGCCTGTGCCACTACCGATGGACACTTTTGCAATATACGATCTCTTTCCAAGAATCCAAACAAACACACCGACCATGGATCGAATTGATGCTGTGTTTGCGGTGAACCGCCAACGCCGCCACCACCACTCGATTGTGAGAGATTTAATGTGGATGTTGATGATTTAGAATTGTCTGCAAAACGAACGATACGATAAGAATAATGTTGCACAATGAACAATGATGCATGTTATTAAATCAATTATACTCACCATCGGTTAGGCCACCCAACCACACACCGCTTGACCGTTCCACAATCCATTGTAAATCAATTTGTGTAGCGTTTAGAATAGCAGTCTTTTCTGTTTGAGGTAGATGCGGTAGACACTTATCCAATACCTAAAATGGAATTCAAATTCAAATGAATGTAATTATAATTGCAGGGATTAATACCACTGATTGGAAAGTAGATGTGTGTTTTGACAAAATGTACATCTTCATGGAATTTGTTGTACAGATTTGAACATACAATTCGAAGAAGGTATCAATTGCAATTTTTAACTAAATGGGAAAATGTTGGGATGTTATCCAATTATTAGATTATGATAAATGAATCCCTGGGAGAATATCGCGAACTAAAATTACCAAGTCTGACAAGTGGCTTGATGTGAGTTTCATCTGAAAGGCAATGTATAGTGACTTTCAAATGAATCTTTAATATTTTCGGATGACATCTTGATGTGTGGGATTGAATAGTAAGAGAAAAAACAGAACATCTTCTGAATTTTTAATATAATAAAAAAATTAATTCCAATGCTACAGAATCTCCTAAATAAATACTTATTACAAATAAACATACCTGCGGACAACATTTATCAATAACATCCAGTAGCGGAGGTTCAGTTTCCGGTATACCCAATGCCTTCATAAGATTTTTTACTTCTTTCAAAATCATAGCTGCTAATTTACGCAGATATGGACGATAATTGCAGAGCAGAACCAAAGCATACCCCTCAACAAAATGCAGCGTAGTAGCCAGGGGAATTTCATTTTTCTTGCCACTTTCAGCCAAGTTAATAACTGTAGCCTGGGTTATGCTTGACATGCCACTCGAGGTAATACTGGATGTAGCACTTGAATTTGTATTTGTTATACTCTTGACATTACTGGCACTGGACAATTGACTTGTGGCGGTATCTTTGCCCACCATATTATTGGCACCGGTTGCAGTAATACCTGTTGCTGTCTGAGTTGCGCCAGTCGCCCCTTGATTGGTGTTTAGGGAACTTGTAGCTGTGGTGGGTGTCTTCAGCATGCCATTGTTGCCATTGCTACCATTCACATTGATGGCACACCGCCATATATTCAAAAATACAAACAACATTCGTGTACAATTCTCCAAAAGTTGCGGATAAGTGTCGGTGACATCGCGCACCAGAAACTGTGTGTAACCGTGCACGACATCCTGACGCCAATCCGGAAAATCTATAACCAATGTTTGCAACGACTGATGCGTTAACATGCGCAGCTCTTCGTCCATGTGTACGGTGAGACGCGAGAGCAAGTCGACAAGTTCTTGCGGTGTCATTGTGTCGGGTATTAAGCGTGGCACAGCTGCCACACAAGTCCTGAAGAGATCAATGCGAGGTTTACGTTCACCCGATAGCATTTCGTCAGGTTCCTTATTTTGATTCTGGGTATTTGTCATCATCAGAGGTCGTCCATAGTGAACATCGAGAGCTCGTAAAATATCAACAAAAACACGACGCACATGGGGGAAATATGTCGACATGCCAATGCTGCGAGCTGTGTCATCGGTTAGCATTTTATTGATGTAGGTTTTCTTGACACGCAGTGTATTGCCGGATGGTAGGACGGGTACGGTGCGTGGCATTGGGGGTTCGCCATCTTTTTGCTGCAGCGAATCGGCAACTACAAGGAAAGCTCTCAGGCCAATGCTCATGCGTTCCGGATTGAGGATTAACTGAAAGCAAAAACAAACAGAGAATATGATGTTAATATGGGTTAACGATTCTTTTGAGGAATCATTTTAAACTCACCTTTATTGGCCGACCCACACACAACAGATCATAGACAATTTCACGCATGGCAAAATCCAAACGTTCTTGAGCAATAAATTGTATAATTTTGACAAAAATATTCAATGGAGTATCACGTGGTACCACACCCTTTGAGCCTCTGAAAATTTTGCGAAAATTCAAATTGTATTAGTTGTTTGGTTTTTTTATTAGTTATCACATTTTTAGTCTGTTCCCGTACTGCAAGAATCTACTATATTTTACTATTTTCTTCGATATCATAAGGAAAATTCGTTACAGTACTAAAAGTTATAGATTCTTGCAACACAAGAACAGACCTTTAGAATACCTACTTTGGAAACAATGAATTCACAATACTTTGTAGACGTGAATGTGTTGCCGAATTCGATTCGCATTTAATGCGTATCATATAGACCCATAAAAGTCGATACAACGATTCCAAGGCGACACGACTCATTTTGGCATCTCGATTCTTTAAATTACTCAAACACATCGCGAGGAAATAATGCCAATTCGATAAGAAGAAGGTTTTTTGTGACACGCACAGTAGGCAGGTGACCAACGGAAATAGGGCAAGGCGATGTTTAGACTTGGTCGAAGCATCCAGTGTTTGCATATACAATAATTCTACGAAATTCTTAACGCATGGGACATTAACTTCATTTTTAACTGCCTGAAAATGGAAAGAAAAAATAGAAATAAATTATTTTTTTCTTTGATATTAGGAGTGACATTTTCTACAAATTACTTTATATGGGAAATTACAAAATTCTTTTAAAATTCCATTAAAAAAATTTTGAAAATTTTTTTTGCGAGCACATTTATGATTTTTGGTACATAGGTTTAGAAAAATATGCTGATTCGAAATCTGTTCGCGTTCACAAATTCGGATGCTGCGCACAAAAGTTATAGCGGTTTTAAATCTTGTATTTCAAATATAAATTAAATGGATTCCTATTCGTTGTAATTCGCGAATTTCTTCACAAATGCTTAAACACCATTGTTTTCTTTGCATACTAGTCAAATCACACTGAAATACGGTTTAATAGTCGCGAAAAACAAATAGAAACATAAAGATATCGGAAAATAAAATAAATTAATTTTTGAATTAAAAATTTTTTTTTTTTAAATTTTCGATTTTTTTAGTATGGTTAAGAGGATACGGTTTTGCCTTAATCTTCTAAAATATACGACGCTTTCTTCTGCAAATTCTTTTATATGATTGTTAAATATCGATAGATTCATCTGATAAGAGTTTCGACGTCATTAATGGCTAAATATATTGCACTTACAATACATAAAAATGATCAATATTGAAAAGCTTGCAATTCGCGAATTAGTTGAAATCAGTTAATGCGCATGCGTTTTTCGTATAAACCAAATCAATCTCTTCCAATAATTATGAATTTTTCGAGGTTTAATATAGCGGTCAAAGTGTGCCGCTCGATGCACTTTACTATGCAAAAACCCTAAAAATGGCTAAAAATCACGCAACGTGCATACGATTTTTATGCGCATCCGATTTCAGTAATCTCCTATGAAAATACACAAAAGGACACCTATTTTAAAAGGATCGGTTAAAAACCGCGGATGTGCCTCCACAATCAATTTTGGATAAAATACGCATATTATTCGCGTATCAATGTATTTTTGAACTATTTCCACGCAGATTCGCGAATTTGACAATACAAGCATAAATGCATGTAAAATTAATTCGAAGAAAACCGCGATTATTTACGCGAATTTGTCAAAATAAGTTTTTGCAGTTTTTCCCACATTCAAGGTATATCCGCCGTTTTATTGGGCGGAATTGAACATGGATGGGCTCATTAGAATCGGCACGTAAAAAAACTAAAATCACGCGGGGTTCCACGGAATTTGAATGGACTTTCTTAATTTTAGACTCAAAAAATATGTTTTTTATGAAAATTTACGCACCAAATTTTCGTCTTTGGAACCCAATTGCAAGGAAGCTACAGTGAGCACATTCATGAGATATACACTAAACGAAGCAGAATCACGAGTTCTACAATCCTATAATTAGTTTATTCGATTATCTGGATGCGCATCCTAATTATAAGAAAAATTAAAAAAACACGGAAAACCCGACTTCAAAATGTCAGCATCCATTTTGGGTGGATGCAGTGATTATATTGAAAAATCATACATTAGAACCATATTGTCCATGGGGTATTCTGCAACTTAGTCACTGATCACATGTGCGTGCGTTGGGTAGTTTAGTCACAAATCAGGAACGAACACAAAAAAACTCGTTGGCTTCAACACATTTTCACCCATTTTTTTACATTACCACCATCACAACTTCCACCGAACTTATTATTTATTACCAATATTTTAAGATTTTGACAAAAACACTTCATTTTATAGAATTGAATTTAAATTATATGCAATATGTTCATATTTCGCGCGTTATAACCTTGCAAATCTCAGCTTCAAGGTTCACACCTTTATAACTCGGGAACTACTTAAGTATATGAAAAAAAGTGAATAGTTTTGGGTTAATTGATCTGTCGTTGCAAACTGCTCATGATATTGACCTCCAAACTTTATTTCAGTGGAAGCTGTGTCTACTTTAATGTAAAAAAATGTGTAAAAACAGGTTGAGGCGAACCAATTTTTTTATATTCTCTATCGATTTGTGACTAAGCCACTCATTGCACGGCCTTCGTGTCAAAATAAAACTAGAAGCCAACAAAATGGGGACTACGCCCCTTATGTATCATTTTTCAAAATTTTAACTGCATCTACCTTTAAATGATGCTGACATTTTGAAGCTCGATTTTGAGTTTTTTTTGAATTTTAGTTCTAGCATTAATACGCGAACAGGAATTTCTAAAAATCGATTATACGATTATTGTAGTCGCGAATCTGCGTAATTTGATATGTATTTTGTGTATGTAGCATGCACAGCTTCAGAGTAATACTCATCCGAAGGTGCGAATTTTGTGCGATCAAATTTCTAAAAAACCTATTTTTCGGGCCAAATTTTTAGATCTGTCAACTGAATGATATGGGTACCCGCGATCAATAAGGTTTTTTCCGTTTCGGATGATATAAAATCTTCTTCGTGAAAATCCATCTACTAGAACGGCGGGAACTGGCCTTCCAAAAACACGAAATTTGGCAAAAAATGTTTTTGAAAATATCGCGGATTTATTTGCGTTTTCTGTGTATCATTTCCGCTTCAATAAATGACCTCATACGGATTTTGATCTTTTTCGAAAAGAGAACTTTAAAAACTTCAGCCGAAAGAGAGATGTACGCAATTTATCTCAAAAATAGATTGTGATGGCACATCCATGGTTCTTAATGGACCACATTGAAATCGGTATAGATCGATGTATTTTTATAGGGTGCACACTGAAATCGGATGCGCGTTAATGACATATGGAGTTTTCGGAAATTATTCGCGTTTTACGGTTTTTTGGGTACTTCAATGTAACGTGCGGCACATCTTAGCCGTCAAATGAAATTTCGCAAAATATATATGGATTGGAAGATAAACTTCAGTACTTCCTGGAAACCGCATGCGCATCAAATGATTTTGAGAATTACGCGATGTAGACGCAATTTATCTCAAAAATAGTGTGAGCTGGCACATCCATGGTTCTTAATGGACCACATTGAAATCGGTATAGATCGATGAATTTTTTTTGGGTGCACACTGAAATCGGATGCGCGTTAATGACATATGGAGTTTTCGGAAATTATTCGCGTTTTACGGTTTTTTGGGTACTTCAATGTAACGTGCGGCACATCTTAGCCGTCAAATGAAATTTCGCAAAATATATATGGATTGGAAGATAAACTTCAGTACTTCCTGGAAACCGCATGCGCATCAAATGATTATGAGAATTACGCGACTTAGACGCAATTTAAAATGTATATTTCATAATATTATTTTATTTTAAGATTTATTCCTATTTATAGAACCCTAAGATTTATCGGAAGGGTCTTGATATAATCCGCAAGGCGTATACTTATACACAAAAAGTGATTATTATTATATATGTCAATTTTTCAGCGAAATTCGGGTAAAATAGCAGAATAACCCCAACATTTTTTTCTGAAATTTCTTGTATACAATTAAAAACATAAATGTGATGACATTATTTTTTCGAACCAAAAACAAATAATTTTCCTCAATATCTTGTTTTGTTGTCGCTGTGATTTACAAACAGCTACACGGACTTGTGTGATTTTGATATCATTTGATTCACCATGGTGTTTAGATTATGTAGATATTTTTAAATTAATTTTTAGGTGTGTGTATGTCATTAATATAATGAAAATATTTACGTAATCTCCTATATTTTCATTATTTTTCTCATATTTCGCGAAGATGTGCAACTTTTTCGCGATTTTTATAATATATTCATATTCTTATTTTACGGAGGAAGATATATATCAAAGTTTTTGGTCTATATAATAAACGGCGTAATTTTAAGATTTTTTTCTTATGCCCAAAATTAAAACCTCGATAACTTTTGCGCGCATCAACCAAAAATTTGATCGCGAACGGTTTCGGAGTCAGAACATTTTTCCCTATATGTGTACCAAAAATCATTGATGTGCCACAAAAACAAAAAAGCTGATTTTTTGAAAATGGAATATTAAAAAATTGGCAATATTGCCCATATATATTTGTGCCCCTATATATATATATATATATATAGGGGCACAAAAAATAGAAACAAACCTAACAAAGTGGTGCGAAAGCAGGTCTATATATTTATCATAAACATTACAATTTATGATAGGTACCAAATTTATATGTCGACGATAGAAGCCTTAAGAGGACCTTTGAAGACGACAGAAGCCTTAAAGACATTTAGAAGCCTTTGAAGACATTTTTTCGACGTTAGAAGCCTTTAAAGACCATTTTGAGACGATAGAAGTCTTTAAATGCCTTTTAACAACGATAGGAGACTTTAAATGCATGTTTAAACGATAGAAGTCTTTAAAGGACATTTTCAGACGATAGGAAACTTAAAAGGCCTTCTTAGACGATGGAAGGACTTGTTCAGTCTTTAAAGGCCCTTTTTAGGCGATTGAGGCCTTTTTTAGAATAAATATTTATTAAAACAAATAAAAAAATTTAAATACAAACTTGAAAGTTGCGAATTCGCCTAAAAAATGAGGTGGGTTAGACAATATCGATGTATAATGATCTACGATTTGAGTCACAGCAGAATGAGCAGGCAGAGATGATATACAAACCTAATACACTATTCAACTAAGGCCCTTAAAATATGTTTAAAATTACAATAATGTTTTCTGGATAGAATAATGTCCATTTAGAATATTTTAGCCTGGAAGAGAAAACTATTTTACAGTTTGGCAAATATTTAAGGTCCTGAGTTGAGCATTAAAATCCTACTAATATATTTTCTTTAATAAAAGCATATTTTCTTTAACTAAACAATCGATTTCATATTATAAATGTCAGTATAAACCGACATTTCTTCCTTCACATACTGAAAAATATACTGGTCTTCATTAAAGTTCGAATTCGTATTGCCCTCAAGGTGAATTCTCAAGTTTTGAGTTATTATTCCTTTTCCAGAAAATAAAAAAGATAATTTTTGTAAAAGAATACTGAAAGTAACATTAATTTTTAATTTTTAAATGATAAACTTACCGCTGCAACTGGCACTAAAATCTCCACAAATAAACCGGCCAAGGCATGTTTAATATCCTTATCTTTTAATTCCAAAAAGTACTGGCCACATTCGTGCATAAATTGAAATGATGCTTCGAATTCTTCAATGGGCACCATCTAATGAAAAACACAAACAATATAAGAAATGTGAATTCATTCAATTTTAAGAATTTCCATATTTCAAATCTTACCTTAACCCTAAAGAATTTCATGCCCATCAGTAAACTTATAATACTTTGTGTGGTATGTGGGGATGGCTCTTTGGCGCGCAACTCCTTGAGTTCACTCATGAAACGTTTTCGCACCGAACTGAAGCGTGATTGGGCCAAAACACCAATTACCTCGGCATACAAATCGGCAATCATGTGTATATTATGGGCATTGGGATTATTCTGTAGGCCTTCTTTGTATTTGAAATGTTTAAAGGCCAAATTTTCAATGCTACGCACCAAATCCTCGTGGCCAGGATGGAAGGGAAGTTGCTTGAGAATCTCAATGAGGGCTAGACAGAAAATAAACTCCACTGCGGCTTCACGTCGTTGCAATTGAAATTCAAGCTCTTGTGAGCTTAGCGGTTTGGCATTTGCATTGGCCGATTTCTCCATGCGCTTGAGATCATTTTTAATTTCAGCATCGGACAACTGGCGTCTGTGCCATGCCAAGAGTGTGTGCAGTAGTGATGGCAAACAATGTTCGGCCACATTGCCCAAAGCGGAGAGTAGCTGATCGAATTGTTGATCTTCCCCACGTTGCAATAGCTTGGAGAGAGGTTTATCGGCACTTTCCAACATCACCAATTCGATTTTCTTCTCAGCCTGTTGGGTGAAATCGGAAAAGAGATTACGCATAACAATTTCGCCGGGCCTTAACATGTTGTTATCCGCATTGTTGTCGAGTTGGGAAGCATTGGTGCTGGTCGAGGTATTGTAGGGCATAATATTGATTATTGAGGATCTTGAATGGCTACCCCAGGGCAATAAGGATTGGCGTTGGGGTATAAGTATGGGATTATAATTACGATTTGAGCCATTTTGGCTATTGGCCAGTCCAGGATAGTTATTAAGAATTTGTTGGTTTTGTGTGGGCGGCATGGTCGATGGCGCAGCCGTATTTACAATTTGGTTGTTGTTGGTAGTATTTCCACTGATTGCTGCAGTGGCGGTAATTCCACCTGTTTCGACCACACCCGCACCCACCAACCCCGTTGCCATCAATTGTGACTCATTTAAGGTGCTGCACTCGACGTTCATGAATTGTTGCGGCAAAGGACTTTCCTCATTTGTCAGAATATTTGCAGTATTATTATTTACAGTATCCCCAGCAGTGGCACAATTTACCGGCGATGTTGAACAAACCACACCACCCGAATTGTTAGCAGCTGCCGATGAGTTGCGAGTTGAGGATTTTGGTGTCGATGTTTGATAATCATTGGAGTTAAGCGAATGTCGTTGCGGTGGTGTTACGCATACTTCATTGTTGTCGGTTGGCAAGGTGGTCGTTGTGGTAGTCACAGATTGGGTATCATCGTATACTGCAGCAGCAGCAGGAGCTGAGGAAATAGTTGCAACTCCTGATCCACCAACACCAGCCGCCGTACATCCACCAGCTATAATAGGACTGCTGGTTGTCGGAGATTCAGGAGCATTTGTGGCGGTTGGACTACCCAATGTGGTATTTATATTTTCATTTTGGTTTGCATTTAAACCTAAAAGAATTAACAAAGAGATACAATTTTTAGAAGTGAAATTAAAATGTAAATTTACAGGATTTAAAAAAGAAATATATATATATATATATATATATAGTTATATAGGAACAAATGACAAGGGAACATCAGTTGTAGATTATGATCTAAATTATAAGTAGTTTTTCATGTGGCGGGGTTCTAATGACCGATGAGCTACAAACAAACATTCGCACATACATTGATGATGGAATATATCATAATTTGACTGAGATAATGAAATTTGACAATTGCTATGATATAAATACTAAAAAATGCGAGGGAGATTTGTTACCATATACTACTACAAAATACCAAATTACAGCAAATTCGGTTGAAAAACGCGCTAAAGATCCCCAAAATATGGGTGCTACCAGAAAAAAATTAACCTATATTTATAATTGTTAGTGGAAAGATTTGCTACCCAATAAGACCTCAAAGTACTAAATTTCAGCCAATTCGGTTGAAAAATGCGATCAAAGCCGCCAAAATACTGAAAAGTTGTGGGGTAGCGTTATATGAGGGCTACCAGAAAAAGTGGACCTATTTCTATGTTTTTTTTTTTGGGTACCAAGTATACCCAAAAAAACCACAATGTACCAAATTTTAGCGAATTCGGTTGAAAACGCGCTCAAGAACCCCAAAATGCCGAAAATTGGGGGGTGCCCTTATATGGGGTGTACCGGAAAAAGTGGGTCTATATTTATAATTTTTAGTGGAAAGATTTGCTACCCAATAAGAACTCAAAGTATTAAATTTCACCCAATTTGGTTGAAAAATGCGATCAAAACCTCCAAAATACTGAAAATGGTAGGGTAACGTTATATGTGGGCTATCAGAAAAAAGTGGACCTAAAACTTTTAGTGGAGAAATTTGGTACCCATTAAGAACCTAATTTAGCAAATTTCAGAGAAATCGGTTGAAAAATGCGCTCAAGAACCTTAAACTACCGAAAATAGGGGGATACCCTTATATGGGAGGTATGCCTAAAGGTGGACTGATGTAGGCCATCTTCGAACTTGGCCTGCCTGCAGTCAAAAGACTCTGTAAATGTTTTTATTAATTTATCTTTCGAGATGAGCTACATGATCGGAGTTGCAATGAAAATGAAAGACAGAGAGATACTACATTCCCACCATTATGCGACGCGATTCGCCGAATATTGTTGCGAAATTGCTTCTACGAATTAAATTCAACCGTGTCAAGATTCGGACATTTGGCATCATACAGAACATTCCTTTTCAGAGCAGATTTTTCTTGTAGTGACGGACGGACTTTTTTCCATACAGACTACAATATTTTTTCTTCAATGGTATACAACTACATATTGTGCAACCTTAGGAAGATAAGGGGGTGGCTTTGAATGTTAAGGCGCCGGACAACAATCAACAGATGCCATGGGAACCAGGGTTCAAATCCCAGCCGGGCTCAGCAGAATTTTTGAGTTTTATGGCTTTTTAGGGTGAAGGATCATTCATGTAAATCTATATATATAAAATAGCTTAGTGTTAAGTGAGTGAGTGACTGACTGACAGATCATCGCCCAGACGAAACGGCTAAAGCTAGAAGCTTGAAATTTTGAGTGTGGGTTGGTGTTGGTGTGTAGGCGTGAGATAAGGCTGGGTTTTTGGAAATTCGAACTAGAAGGGTACGAAAAGTACTAAAATGTACCAAATATGGTACCCTTTGTATTAGGCGAACGGGAAGAGCTAGAATTCTGAAATTTGGAATGTGGGTCACTGATGTAAAGTTAGCAAGATGTACAAAAGGATTTTTGGAAATTCGACCTATAAGTGTACTAAAAGTACTAAATTTAGTTCTAATTTTATATATATTGAACATATATAGCTAAAATCTTGAAATTTTATATGGAATAGAGGTTGGGAAGTGGTGTTGATGTATGGAAATGGTTTAAGATTTTCGTACTTATGTTTTTTAAAAAGTACTAAATGGTACTAAATTTGGTACTATTTGCATTTAGTTGAGTGTATATAGATGGAATCCTGAAAATATCAATTAGGACTACTATTGGAGTACACGAATGAGGTAGCTTTAAAAAATTGTACTTATGTGTACGAAAAGTACCAAATGGTACTAAATTTGGTGCAAGTTGGATTTACGTGAACATAGAGTCTTCAAATTGACTGTTGGAGTGTAGGATTGAGGTGTTTAAGAAATGGGTAATTATTGGTACAAAAAGTACTAAATGGTACTAAATTTAGTACTATTTGCATTTTGCTTGAACGAAAAGATGTGAAAACATGAAATTTGGAATTAATATTTATGTTAATGATTGAGCTATACCGAGAGACATATTTGGAAATTCGTATTTATGTGTACGAAAAGTACTAAACGGTACTAGATTTGGTACAATTTGGATTTGGGTGAACGGGGAGAGCTGGAAACCTTAAATTTGAAACAATGGTTGCTGTTAAAATATATAATTGAGATATGGAAGCATAGTACTTATGTGTACTTAATGGTACTATATTTGGTACAACTTGATTATATCTATATATATAAAAGAGCTTAGTGTTAAGTGAGTGACTGACAGATCATCGCCCAGACGAAACGACAAAAGCTAGAAGCTTGAAATTTTGAGTGTGGGTTGTTGTTGGTGTATAGGCGTGAGATAAGGCTGGGTTTTTGGAAATTCGAACTAGAAGGGTACGAAAAGTACTAAAATGTACCAAAAATGGTACCCTGTGTATTAGGCGAACGGGGAGAGCTAGAATTCTGAAATTTGGAATGTGGGTCACTGATGGAAAGTTAGAAAGATGTACAAAAGGGTTTTTGGAAATTCGACCTATAAGTGTACTAAAAGTACTAAACATTACTAAATTCAGTACTAGTGGTATATATATTGAACATATATAGTTAGAATCATGAAATTTTATGTGGAATTCAGGTTGGAAAGTGATGTTGTTGTATAGAAATGGTTTAAGAAACTCGTATTCGAATTTTTTTTACATATATAAAGAGTACAAAATGGTACTAAATTTGGTACTATTTGCATTTAGTTGAGTGTAAAATGATGGAATCCTGAAAATATGAATTAGGACTACTATTGGAGTACAGGAATGTGTTAGCTTTAAAAAATCGTACTTATGTGTACGAAAAGTACTAAATGGTACTAAATTTGGTGCAAGTTGGATTTAGGTGAACAGATAGAGCTGTAGTCTTCAAATTGGGAATTAAAATGACTGTTGGAGTGTTGGATTGAGGTAGTTTAGGAAATTCGTACTTATTGGTACGAAAAGTACTATATGGTACTAACTTTAGTACAATTTTGATTTTGTTTGAATGGATAGAGCTGAAAACCTCAAATTTGAAATTTAGGTTACTGTTGAAGATAAAGCTATAGAGACATATTTGGAAGTTCGTATTTATGTGTACGAAAAGTACTAAACGGCACTAGATTTGGTACAATTTGGATTTGGGTGAACGGAGAGAGCTGGAAACCTAAAATTAGGAATAATGGTTACTGTTGGAATATAGAATTGAGATATGGAAGCATAGTACTTATGTGTTCTAAATGGTACTATATTTGGTACAACTTGACTAAGTGTGAACGGATAGAGCTATACTCCAGAATTTTGGAATTAAAATTACTGTTGGAGGATTGAAGTAGTTTAGAGCATTTTTAATTATAGAAACAAAAAGTACTAATTGGTACCAAATGGTTTACAAAATGTTTTAGTGTGAACGGATAGGGCTGAGAATTGCAATTTTGATTTTAAATTACAGTTGGAGAGCAGGATTGAGATATGCCGGTAGTATTGAAAATTCGTAAATATGTGTACTAATAGGTACTAAATTTGGCAAAATTTATATTTGGGTGAACGGATAGAGATGAAAATTTTGAATAAAATTTGGAATGAAAATGACAGGGTTATTGTATTATTGGAATTTCGTACTTATGGATACGTGAAGCACTAAATAGTACTAAATATGGTACAATTCGTTTTGTGTGAACGGGAATCCTAAAATTTGGAATTAAAATTAAGGTTGGAGTGTAGGATTGAGACATGGTGGTAGTTTTGAAAATGCGTAATTATTTAGTACAATTTAGATTTGAGTGAAGGATGGATATGGAAAACTTATAATTGAAAATAAAATTACTGTTAGAGTATAGGATTAAGACAGTGTTGGAAATTAAAACTCATAAATAGGAAAAGTACTAAATGGTACTAAATATGGTACAATTTGGATCTATGTGAAAAGATAGGGCTGGGATCCTGAAATTTATGATTAACATTAATGTTGCAGTGTGGAATTGAGGCAGTTTTAGAAACTCGTACTTATGTCTACGAAAAGTAATAAATGGTACCAAATTTGGTACAATTTGGATGTTTGTGAACGGATAGAGCTGGAA